GCCTCTGCCTCTGCCTCTGCCTCTGCCTCTGCCTCTGCCTCTGCCTCCCAAATGCCAGGATTAAAAGCATGCTCTCCTACAGCCAGCTGTGGTTCAAGTCTTGAGAGCCCCTTTAAGATTGCCATTGATGAGACTGGATAGATGGCTTAGTGGTTAAAAGCACTTGTTGTTCTTGCACTTGTACTTACAGAGGACCATGGTTCAATTCCCATCAGGAACACCAGTTCCAGGGCATCTGATGCCATCTTCTGACCATCATGGATACTAGGCATATGTGTGGTGCAGATATATGCAGACAAAACATACACATACAAAATATTTTTTAAAAAAATCAATAAAACAAAACCCAGTAATATTGCCGTTGGCTGTGTTCTTCCTTTGGCTCTCACAGATGGGGTTCCATGTTCCCAGAATCCAACAGAGGCAATAGAAGCTTGGATCAATTTCAATAAAGAAGAAAGAGAGGCTTTTGCAGAGTCACTCAGGACTAGCTTGAAGGTAAGGCACATTTTATTCTTAAGGATTGGGTGGCATAATCTCTGCATTCCAGCCCTCAGTGGCCTTCTCTCTATTTTGGCAGGGGGAAATGTGTATCTTTTGGTATATGTGTGGGGGTCAGAAGACAACATGCAGAAGTCAGTTCTCTCCTTCTACTATGTGTGTCACAAGGATCAAACTTAGGTCTTCAGGCTTGGGGCAAGAAAATTTACTGCTGAACTATCTCACTAGCGTGGCCTGGCCTGGCCTGGCGTGTGTGTGTGTGTGTGTGTGTGTGTGTGTGTGTGTGTAGATGTGGATATGCAGACTATAAGCTATCAGAGGTTTTCCTCTGCTACTCTTTTTCTTATTGCCTTAAGTCAGTGTCTCTAACTGAAGTTTACCATTGGCTAGGCTGGCTCACTAGTCAGCAAATTCCCAGGATCCACTTTTCTCTGCTCCCTCAAAGCTGGAGTTACAGGCATGTCTAACTATGTCCAACTTATTACATAGATGCTAGAGATTTTGTGGGGATGCTCGGGTCCTCATGCTTGTACAGCAAGTGCCCTTACCCCGAGCCATCTTCCAAGCATCTGACCTGCCTCTTTTGATAGCCACTGATTAGTTACTAGCTTGAAGTTACTAAGAACTGGGGAGTTGGATGTTTTTTCTGGTCCCACAAGCCATCTGTCTGTGACCTTCTAAGTTCATAGAGCTTTTGCTATCTTCTCTGATGCTATCTTTTGAAAGACCTGCTTTCATCATTGAGTTAACCAATTCTAGCCAGATGTGGTGGTTTAACAGATGGGGAGGTGTACATGAAAGTGGGAGGATTCAACTCAGCTACATAGTTAGTTCAAGGCCAGCATAGGGTATATAAGATGTAGTTCAGCCTGGCAGTGGTGGCGCACGCCTTTAATCCCAGCACTTGGGAGGCAGAGGCAGGCGGATTTCTGAGTTAGAGGCTGGCCTGATCTACAGAGTGAGTTCCAGGATAGCCAGGGCTATACAGACAAACCCTGTCTTGAAAAACAAAAACAAACAAACAAAAAAAGATATAGTTCAGTTGCTAAGATGTAGGATGCTTGCTTTGTGTCATGAAGTTCTGGGTTTAATTTCTAACACTGAAAAACAAAAGCAGTGAGATGTACATCCTATAATCCCCCTTAGAGGCTGATGCAGGAGAATCTAAGTATAAACAGTTTGTGCTACACAGCAAGATCTTGTTTGAATAAATATATAAATAACTTAAATTGCAAGGATGAACAAAACAGATTCTCTGACCCTGCACATCAAGGGAAAGTCAGGACATGAGGCCTGGACCTTCAAGGATACCTGTCTTAGTAGAGTCTTCACATGAGCTGATGTGAGAATTTCAATTTTGCCAACAGGAAATTGGGGAGAATGTGCACATTTACCTGATCGGGAAGGAGTCATCTCGCACCCACTCATTGGCTGTGTCCTTGCACTGTGCAGAAGATGACTCCATCAGTGTAAGTGGCCAAAACAGCTTGTGCCACCAAATCACTGCAGCCTGCAAGCATGGCGGCGACCTGTATGTAGTGGGAGGGTCCATCCCACGACGCATGTGGAAATGTAACAATGCCACTGTTGACTGGGAGTGGTGTGCTCCTTTGCCCCGGGACCGCCTCCAGCATACCCTAGTATCTGTGCCTGGGAAAGACGCCATATACTCACTGGGTGGCAAGACACTTCAGGATACCCTTTCGAATGCAGTCATCTACTATCGGGTAGGTGATAACGTGTGGACAGAGACAACTCAGTTAGAGGTGGCCGTATCTGGGGCCGCTGGTGCCAACCTCAATGGAATCATCTACTTACTAGGGGGTGAGGAGAATGATCTAGACTTCTTTACCAAACCTTCCCGACTTATCCAGTGCTTTGACACAGAAACTGACAAGTGCCATGTGAAGCCCTATGTACTGCCCTTTGCAGGCCGCATGCATGCAGCAGTGCATAAAGATCTGGTGTTTATTGTGGCTGAGGGGGACTCTCTAGTGTGCTATAATCCCCTTCTAGACAGCTTCACCCGGCTCTGTCTTCCTGAGGCCTGGAGCTCTGCTCCATCCCTCTGGAAGATTGCCAGCTGTAATGGAAGCATTTACGTCTTCAGGGACCGATATAAGAAGGGAGATGCCAACACCTATAAGCTCGACCCTGCCACTTCAGCTGTAACTGTCACAAGAGGCATTAAGGTGCTGCTTACTAACTTGCAGTTTGTGTTGGCCTAAAACAGTGATGACAAGAACAGCTGACTCCTTTGCCCTCCCCTTGTCATGTATCCCCAGTCAAATCTGAAGTCCCCCAGTTCAGAGTAATGTGTTAGTTTGGGCATCCATGAGGAAGGCAGCGCCTCAGCTCACCCCGAGGCTCATGGGGTGCTGTGTGTGGGGCTTTTCACACTGCTGCTGCTTGAACTCTGCCATTACCCCCTGTGATCCTGTGCCTCATTTCAGACTGCTTAGAGCCAGCCTCTTCTCAGACTTAGGCACAGCCTCCCTTACCAGATCAGTGTTAAAAAGAAGCACCTTGGTTCCCACGCAGGAAGACAGAGGCCCATTCCTTTTGTCTATAGCCCGCAAAGGGGCTAGTTGTCACTTTTCCACAAAGAATTAAGTATGAGAGTTTTCCTTCAGGATTTGGATGGGACAGTGGACTAAGCTAAAAATGTACTTCACCAGCAAGAATCAACTGTAGAATTCAGGATGTTCCTTCAAATGTTTTTTCATCTATCTGTTAGGAAAAGAAACTCTGGTTGGATTTTTGGCTTATACAAACAGATAAGCCAGAAAGTAGAAACAATTGTTTCTGATTAATAGCAGAAACTGTTTTCCAGACTCAAACATAAAACAGTCTCTGGTCTTTTAAGGCTCTAAGCTAAATAAAGAGTTAGAAACTGTTCATACAAATAAACATTTTTGAAATGATATGTGTGTCTCTGTTGACTACTAAATGGGTGACTTCTGAAGGGAAACTAATTGTGGATTTCTTCCTTCCTGACTCAGCAATCCTGCCTGCACCCCATACATCCTTTAACATTCTGATCTCTCCCCCAGAAGTGTGAGGGGAGTCCCACGGGGCCAGGGAAAAAAAGATTATTTTTATTTTTGGAACTGCTAGGGACCAAATTCAGGGCCTTATACATGCTGGGCAAGCATTTTGCCAAGTCATACAATTAAAATTTGGATTCTGACAGTAACAAAGAACAGATCTAGATACTTATTTCCTTTTCTAGCATTAAATGTCTTTGATTTACAGTGTTGTTACACATATTAGAAGCACAATAGATTTCTGTTAAAATTAATATTTCCATATCCCTGTCAAAGAAAATAAGATTTAGCCAGACAATCTTGTTCTCTGTAGCCATCCAAGTGTTATTTCAGGAAGGAAGGCAAAGGAGGCACATTATCTACAACTCAGCACATTTGCAGTGTGGTTGGTTTAAGCTGCTTTGTCCTGTAAACTTGTTACTGTATCTCAGGGCGATCCAAGTTCTTTGTCATCCACAGACTTCATACTCTTATCAGCATGAGGGATAATCAGTAGTTAGTTCTTTGCTGCCCTTGCAGCAATCTCCTTGTGGAACTCTTTGAGAACTTCCAGCTGGCTGGGCCTGATGGAGATGTGTGACCGGATTTTGGCGATAGCTTCTATAGCCTCCTCTGGGCTCCAGTTGTGTACCTGAAGTACAAGGTTAGAAAATCAGCCAAGAAAAGGAGGAGCAGGTGCTGAAGGACTCTCAGAATTAAGTTGTAAAAAGATTTGGGCTGGCAAGGTAGCTCAGTGGATACAAGTACTTGCTGTCAAGCCTGACAACCATAACCAAAAGTTTGGTCCCAGGAATTCACATGATAAGATGAGAGAATTAACTCCTGCAAGTTGTCTTCTGACTCCACGTGAGTGCCAAGGTGCAGACATGCCCACATGCACTTGCACATATAAAGAAATAATGTATAATCAATTTTCTTCAAGTAGACGAAGACTCCATAGTAGAGGGTTTTGAAAATCATGCTCCATCTGGGCTAAGAGGTACAGGCCTGTAAACCCAGTTACTCAGGAAGTTGAGGCAGGAGACCTACGACTTCACAGCTTGTGTGAGTTATAGTTCAAAGCCAGCCCAGCTGACTTAACTAAAACCATGTTTTAGTAAAAATGATGCCCAGGATATAGCTCAGTGGTAGAGCATTTGGTTAACATGCTTAATTAAATCACTTGGGTTCAATGCCCAGAACTAAAAAAGGGAAGGAAAAAAAAATTGTTCCTTTGCTGGGTGTGGTATGCTGGAGGATCACATGAGCACAGGAGTTCTAGAGTTTGTGACCAGCCAGACCAACATCAGATACCTTGTCAGAGAACAAAAGGACAGGTCTCATGAGAGCACTTTTAACTACCTCAATCAGCAAATCCTACATCCCACATGAAGCTGAAACTCCAGATTTTCTAGGTCTACTCTGTCAGGTGTTTGTTTGTTTTTAACTCGTTTTTGAGCTAGGATTTTTTTTTTTAAATATTTATTTATTTATTTTATTGATGAGTACAGTGTAGCTGTCTTTAGACACACCAGAAGAGGGCATCCAATCTCATTACAGATGGTTGTGAGCCACCATGTGGTTGCTGGGATTTGAACTCAGGACCTCTAGAAGAGCAGTCAGTGCTCTTAACCGCTGAGCCATCTCTCCAGCCCTTGAGCTAGGATTTTAATAATTTCTAATATGTATATATTTATTTCTAGAAGTAGGTATAGTTCAGTGGTTAAATGCTAGCCAGGCTTGAAGGAAGCATATGGGTTCTAGTCCTGACACCAAGTACACTGGGTGCCCTGATACACTGTAACTTGGGAGGGGAGGCAGGAGGATCAGAAGTTTAAGGTCATGCTCACTGACATAATTGACTTTGAGGCTAGCCTATAATTCAGGAGACTTTGACACGAAATACACAAAAACTTCTGTTTTCCTGCAATTCATCACCATAGCTAAGAAAATGAACACTTTTTTAGGATGCACACTGATTTAGAACTCAACAGTATTAAAACAAACAGCTCTAGCCTGTTGGGTCAAATCTCATTTAGACCAAAATACACTCTTGAGATTACTTCCAGCAGATTTTTTTTTTCTTCATGGTCTTTTTTGAGACACAGTCTCACTATATCTACTTGGTTGTTCTGGAACTCATGCTATGCAGAGCAGTTGGCTTTAAACTCAAAGAGATCCATTGTTTCCACTTCCAAAATGCAGGAGTTACAGATGAACACCACCACACCCAACTTTCAGCAGAATCTTTATGATAAGCATTGGTATCATAAGTCACACATAGTCCATATTAACAGGGCTGGGCTGGTTCTTATATTTCCTTAAATTACCTACTTGACTGAAAATACTATGCAAGAACCAGACTAATGGCCACAAATGAGTCACCTGGAAAGGGATAATGGACTATAAAGCATTTGCTTTTAAAGCATCCCACTTGGCAATAATTCTTTTTCCCCCCTGTATCAGGGAATAAAGTCAGGGCTTCATACATGCTAGGCAGGCACTCTACCACTGAGCAAAGTCCCCAGCTGTGTACACATAAAATAAGAAAATACGGTAAAACAACAAAAACGAATGTCAGAGCTTTATCGTGAAATGCCATAAAACCAGAAGTGATCAGCAATATATCTATAACACTAAGTGCTCTGACCTGCTATTTTGGGCCTTGAGCTGAATAGCCCGGTATCTAAGGATATCCTGGAACTTCATCCTCCCAGCTCCATCTCCCATGTGAGGTCCTCAGTTTGTGCTGCATGCACTCTGGGCAAGCACTCTACTATTGAATTAGCCCCTGCCATGCTATTTAAACTAGGCCAGGTATGGTGGTCCACTCCTGTGATCCCAGCACTCAGGAGGCAGAGGCAGGAGGATTGCTGCAAGCCTCAGTTCTATAGCCTAGTCTCCACTATGAATTCCAGACCAGTCAGGGCTATAAAACAATACACTATCTCAAACAAACAAAAAATAAGGCTCTTTCAGTCTTCTGTGGGGCCTTTTTTTTAAGGCCTGTGTAAGCAAGCACTTTGACATACCTTCTCATTTAAGTTTCCTGTCACATTTAAGCTAAAGAAACAATATCAGAGAGGAGAACTCACATTTATCTATCCTGACTAGTAAGAGGAGGACCAGATCAGCTGGCCTGTGCACAAAGCATGGCTGTTTTACGTGACACCATACCACCTTCTGACAGCCTAGAAGTGGGTTATGGCTCTCTCCAGCAAGGCCTGCCAGTAAACAATAGTATGGAACTTCTGGAAAGCTATACCAACACTACTGCAGTGTTACTTTTCCTACCTGAATCAGATAGGCTGCCACCATTGTGGCACTTCTGGATCGACCAGCCTTACAGTGCACATAGACACACTGACCCAGTGACTGGTACTTGAGAGCAAACTGGACTCCTCTGTGGAGATTGTCCAAGGTGGGGACTCCAGTCATGTCAACTGTGCTGAGCCGTAGCTGCTCAACTCCTGCTTTCTTCCATTCCTAGAACCAGAACAGAAAGGAAAGGAAAAATCAAAGAAGCTTGAGGTGAATGGTGTGAAGAGGAGGTCCCAAGCAGCAACACAGCAAGTAAGTTCCAGGGTTTACTCTCCGAAAACAGAAATTCCGTTAAAGCAGATCACCTTCCACTAAGCAGACATGCTGCTATTAGAACTATATCCAAATATTCTTTAGCTGCTTGGATCTTTAGTTCTTTTATTTGCTCCATAAAATCTGCTGTGGGTCTGGAGAGACAGTTCAGCAGCTAAGAGCACTTACTGCTCTTGGAGGAGAGTTCAGTTTCTAGCACCCCCACTGGGAGGCTTATAACCATCTCTAAGCACCCACCCACTTAGTTAGGTGTGGTAGCAAACATTAACTCCAGCACTTGGGAGGCATAGGTGCAGGATCTCTATGAATTTGAGTCTACATAATAAGTTCCAGACCAGCCAGAAACCAAAACACCACCACAACAAAAGTAAGTTTTAAAAAATTCAGCTGCAAAAGTTAGGGGGCTGAGGATGTAGGTGAATGGTGTAGTGCCTGCCAAGGGAGCCCCGGCCATCCCCACTTAAAATAACATGACGAAGCTGTGGTTCACCTTAGTTAGGTCTGGTACAGTGGTCCAGCTGCATATAATCACTGGTAAACATATATTTTACCATTAGTGCATAAATATTTTTGCCACTTTTTTCAGGGGTACATAGTAAAAGAAATAGGATTATTTTTAAGTTAAAACAACATACTTTAGACAAAAGTGGGGGGCTCATGCCTCAAACCTCAAGGCTAGGATGCTGTGTGTGGAGTTCAGGGGTCGTCTAAGCTACAGAATAAAGACTCCCTTCAGCCTTAAAAAACAAAACAAAATAAAATAAAAAAAAAAACTTACCTGGTTTTGTGTGACATTATTTAAGAGACTAGAGAAATGAAATAAAGCCTTTTTTTTTTTTTTTCGAGACAGGGTTTCTCTGTGTAGTTCTGGCTATCCTGGAACTCACTCTGTAGACCAGGCTGGCCTCGAAATCAGAAATCCGCCTGCCTCTGCCTCTCTCCCAAGTGCTGGGATTTTTGATATATTAGACAACAGTGTTTCTGCTTTAAGACTGCAAATACACTCTAGCTACTTTTATTAGCTTCTTTGTTGTTGTTTTTTAAGTAAGGTTTCCTATAACCCAGGATGACCTCAGTTCTCACTATGTAGCCAAGGATGCCTGTGAGCTGATGTTCCTGCCTCCACTTCCTAAGTGCTGAAATTATAGGTGTGAGCCTCCATGTTCCTTGCTATTTTTAGCAAACCCCTGCAACTTAATGACTGCATGTAGGCCAGTTTAATCCCACCAATCAAATTCACAGAACCCTAAGGCACATTTTTGCTTGTATACCAATTGAACTAGAACCACTTTCAGAGTCGTTAAATATGCAGATAAATCCTGGGTCAGAGTACCAGGGTTGAGGGGGAGGGTGTGGGGGTGGGGGTGGCTGGAGGCTGCCAGAAGATCCTTAAGCATATTCAAATGTGACTGCAGAGATGTCTTTTCTCTAGGCTAGTGGGATGGGAAAGCTCCATCTTACAAAAGACAGCGCCTGATATGCCAAGCCTTGTCTGTATGGCTTTAGTGACCCCTCAGTTTGATCACATCAGTGAGTATTAACTCTGATAGCTAATGACCCCTTGAGACCTGTGACAAAATTTTGGGAAGTTCCAGGAACAATGGTGTTCTTTTTTTTTTTTTTTTTTTTCTATAAAGGACCTTATATACCATACTCCAGGTTAGCCTCGAACTCCTGTGTGGCTCAGGATGAGCTTGACTATCTGATCCTAGGGTATTGCTTCTAGGGTGTTGGGACATAGGCCCTGTGCCACAACCACACCTTGTCTCATTCTGCACTGAGCTTCATGTATACTAGGCAAGCAGTTCATCAACTGAAATCCATCCCCAGCCCACTCTGCAGGTTTTCAATGATAGCTATTAACATAGTATATATAATAAGGGGTGCTCATCTTTTATACTTTTATTTGGGGCAGGGGTTTCAAGATAGGATTTCATTATGTAGCTCTGGCTGACCTCAAACTCACTATGTAGCTCAAACTAGCCTCAAACTCACAGAGATATGCCTGCCTCTGTCTCCAGAGTGCTGGGGTTAAAAGTGTGCACCACTATGCCTGGCAGGGAGGGGGTATGATTTTCTTATTTGTGATTTTGTTTTTAGTCACAGACTCATGTAGCCCAGGCTGGCCTCCACCTCACTACACACTGTGGCTGGTCTCAAGTTCTTGATCTTCTCACCTTCACTCACGAAGAGCTAACAAAACAGGTAAGAGTCACACTCTCTCTTAAACAAATGCTTTTCTTACAGTTGGCCTTCATCTCCAAAACTAACAGTTGCCTAATTCAAAGTTGATGCTAAAATATGTGTTGAAATTAATGGAAGCAGCAAGGCACACTGTAGTAGTCAGGGTTCTCTAGGTCAACTCCCCGAGCCAAGCACATTCAAACCACCACACACATAAATCACAATTTTAGTTACTGAAGCACAAATACAAGATAGGTGTATTAGCACATGCCTGTAGTCTCAGTACTTGGAAAGTGGAGGCAGGAGAATCAGATCAGGACTTAAGACCCCTGTCTCAAAATAAACAAACAAACAAAGGAAAAGTGGCATATACATGTACAATTTGTGCATGAAGAACTGTACCCCCATCCCGATTTTGAAGCAAGACTTCTTTGTGTCCTGACTAGCACAGAGCTCACTACATACACCAAGCTGGCCTGGAACTTCCAACGACCCTTCTTCTTGCCTGAGCCACCCACAACGGGTTAGCTCGCTCTTTTCAGACAGTGTCTCGGACACTAGTCTAGGAGACAAGGTCACCCACAGGGTCCTTCCCCTGGCTTCTCCAGCTTTCACAGGCCCGAGTACTGGGCCAGGCCAAAGGGCCCGGGTCTTTACCTTCGAGGTGTTGCACAGGAATCTGGTCTCGTACTCCTCGTTCATAGTGATCACACCGTGCACATTCTCGTCCTGTACCAGCTGCCGAGGCAAAGAGGGGGCTCAGCGAGGGCCGCGGGGCGCACGCCGCGGCCCTGGGCCCGCTCCCGGCCCAGCCCGGCGGCCTGTCTCACCCGGCGCGTCATGCTCCTCAGCGGCAGCGCGCCCAGCAACACTGTGTGGTCGATGCGGTGGTACCAGTCGCGGTGCGCCGGGCCGCGCACCGTCCCCCGGAACACTGTGTAGAGCAGCGTCGGGTAGAAGAGCACCCGGGCCAGGCCGGCCTCCAGCCACGCGGACGCCGCCATCCCGCCCCACCCCGCCAAGCGTAGTGGCGAGCCGCCCCACCCCGCCAGGCGCAGCGGCCAGCCACCGGCCTCGGGGCTCGCGGCCAGCCACCGCGAGAAGGACGCGAAGGACGAGAGCTGAGGGCTGCCTGATTCCTCCCGACTCTCCGCAGCTGAGTCCCCGCAGTCCAGGCCAGGCCCGGGAGATCCCGGGACAGGAACCATGGCTCCAAAGGAGAGGCGCCGCGAGGGGTGGGGTGGGGGGAGTGGAACAGCAACGATAGGGTGAAACTGTGACCCTGCCTAGGGAACAGGGACCGCTCTCCAACCCCTGACCTCAGGGAGGGGCCGTGACCCTCGAGCGCACCCATCACCAAGGAGGAGACTGGGCAGAGAGGCTTCTCTAAACAGGGGATGCCCTGGAGGACCCGGGTCTGGGTGTATGAAGAGCTACAGTTGACAGGAACTGCTCTTGGGAGAGCAGGGAACTTGAACCTAAGCGGTGGTCTACTGTCTTGTCTAGTCAGTCTGTCAGTCAGTCAGTCTGTCTGTCTGTCTGTCTGTCTGTCTGTCTGTGTCTCTGTCTCTGTCTCTCTGTCTCCCTCCCTCCCTTTTCCTTCCTTCCCCCTTCCCCTCCCCCCTCCCCTTTCCTCTCCTTCCCCCTCCCCCCTCTTTTTTTGAGACCAGATCACACTATGTATCCCTAAATGCCTTATATTGGCTATGTAGCTAGAACAGCCAAGGCACACAAAGAAACCATGTCTCAAAAAACCCAATATGTGTATGTGGGAGGTGTGTGTGTGTGTGTGTGTGTGTGTGTGTAATGGGTGCTTTGCCCGCCTCTATGTCTGGGCATCACCTGGGTCAAAGTCCAAGGAGGCCAAAAAGGATGTTGGAACTTATGGGGCTGGAGTGTGATTGGAGGGACAGGAATACCTCTGAGAGAATGCTGGAAATCAAACCAGGGTCTCTGGAAGAGTAGCCAGTCCTCTTAGCTGCTTAACCATTTCTCTAGCCACAAGAGAATAGTCTTAACAAGTATCTGCTGCTTTTTCCCTCCTTTTTGGTTTTGGATTTGGGTTATTTATTTGTTTGTTTTTCAAGATAGGGTTTTTCTGTGTAGTCCTGGCTGTACTAGAACTCTCTCTGTAGACCAGGTTGGCCTGGAACTCAAGAAATTCACCTGTCTGTGCCTCCTGAGTTCTGCGATTAAAGGCATGCGCTACCACTGTCTGACTTCTTTTTCCTCCTTTTTAAAAAGACGTATATTTTATCTCTATCAAAGAAATACTCATCATATTAGGCGAGAAAGAGGTTGAGAGGAGTTAGGAGGAGGGGGGATGAATTTTATCAAAGTACAGTAATATGTGTATAAGATTCTCAAAGAATTAATAAGTATTAAATTAAAAATGGAAAGTCTGGAGAGATGGCTCAGAGGTTAAGAGCACTGACTGCTCGTCCAGTGGTCCCAAGGTCAATTCCCAGCAACCACATGGTGGCTCACAACCATCTGTAATAGGATCTGATGTCTTCTGGTGTGTCTGAAGACAGCTACAGTGACCTCAGATAAATAAAATAAATAAATCATTAAAAAAAAAAGGAAAGGGCTGGAGAGATGGCTCAGTGATTAAGAGCACTGACTGCTCTTCCAGAGGTCCTGAGTTCATATCCCAGCAACCACATGGTGGCTCACAACCATCGGTAATGAGATTGGATGCCCTCTTCTGGTGTGTCTGAAGACAGCTACAGTGTACTCATAAATAAAATAAAATAAATAAATCATTAAAAAAAAAGGAAAGTATAGTAAGAATTGAGTCGGGCATTGTGGTGGCACACCCCTTAATCCCAGCACTCAGGAGGCAGAGGCAGGTAGATCTCTGAGTTAAAAACCAGCCTGGTCTACATAGAGAGTTCCAGGACAGCCAGGGCTCCACAGAGAAACCCTGTCTCGAAAAACCAAAAAAAAAAAAAAAGAGTTCCAGGGCAGATGTCTGTCTCAAAAATAAATAAATAAATAAATAAATAAATAAATAAATGATCCAATAGTACTATTATATCTTTTTTTTGAGAGAGAAAGAATGTGGCTCAAGGAGGCCGAGAGAGGCTATCGGGTCCCCTAGAACAGGAGTTACTGACATTGTAGCCTTCCATGTGGGTGCTGGGAACTAACCCCCACTTTTCTCCAAGAGTAGCGAGTGCTCTTAAGTGTTAATCCATCCCTCTAGTCATTGTAGTAAATTGGACTGAACTCTAGCAATCGTTCTTTGTCAGCCCTCTTAAAGCTGGGGTCACTTGCACACCACCATGTCTGACTCCTCTTCAGTGGGGACATCCTTTTAGTGCCATCTTGAGATATGGTTCATAAGCCACATGATGTACCTGCACCTGCTTTCACATTTATTTTTGTGTGTTGGATCAGGGAGCATGCTTGGCAGAACATAACTTGTAGGAGTCTGTTCTCTTTTACCATGTGGGTTCCAAGGATGGAACTCAGCTTGTCAGTGTTGGCAGCAAACACCTTATCCCCTGAGACATCCTGCCAGCTTCAATTTACTCTTTAATATGTACAATTCAATGAGTATTAATATACTCTTGGGGTTGTATCATCAGCTCTGTGCAGTTTTAGGACATTTTCATCTTCAAAGGAACTCTTACACACATTAGCAATCATACCTAATTCCTCCATCGGCTGGCAACCACTAACCTACTTCTGTGGATTTGTCTATTCTGGGCATATACATGGGTCCAAGAAACATGTAGTCTATGTATATTCAAATGTAAGTAAAGGTTATTGTAATAATCTTTGTTCTTGTTTTCTCTTTTTACTATTTTACTTATTCACTTTACATTCTGCTCACTGTCTTCTCCCAGTCACCCCCTCTCCCACAATTCTTGCCCCATTCTCCCTCCCCATTTTTTTTTTTTTTTGAGACAGGGTTTCTCTGTGTAACCCTAGCTGTCCTAGAACTCAGAAGGTAGACCAGGGCTAGCCTTGAACTCACAGAAATTCACCTGCCTCTGCGTCCTGAGCTGGGATTAATTGTTCATGGAGTGTGCTACCATGCCCACCTGAGATTCTTTTTTTTTGTTGTTGTTGTTTTTGTTTTTTGAGACAGGGTTTCTCTGTGTAGTCCTGGCTGTCCTGGAACTCACGCTGTACACCAGGCTGGTCTCGAACTCAGAAATCTGCCTGCCTCTGCCTCCCAAGTGCTGGGATTAAAGGCATGAGCCACCACGCCTGGCCCCACCTGAGATTCTTACAGTTTTTGTTTGATACAAGTATATTGTCTGATGTAGCTAGTCTCTGCTACTTTGTAAGTTCTTCTTCCTTTTCCCACCTTTTAGTCCCCCCTACCGGTTTCACCCCTTTAGCACCAGATAGGGAAGAAGTATAGAGAGAGGAGAAGTGGGGGGGGGGGGTCTGAATACTTCCTTTTGTTTCTTCTTTGACCATGGCTACTAACAAACTAAAATCAACCTCCTTAAATGACCAAAAAAACTACCCACCATGTCTCTAGGGACTCTTGAATTTATACACCGTCTGAAAAATTCCCAGAATTCTAATTACAGAAATTATTTGTAGCTGGTAAAACCACATTTGCTAGAGCATGAAGCAAATCACAGTCAGCTGTTGCAGACGACAGTCTGAAATAGCCCCATATCTCCACACCAGGGATTAAAATGAAAACTTCTTTATAATATTTCTATGTTTTTTAAAGAAACCAAAATTCTTTCTCCAGTCTGAAATCTTCCCTTCTCACTTCAAGCCTACTCAGAGATTTTTGTACCACAGAGCTTTCCAACATTTTCTTATAAGCATTTTCATAATATGCTGAAACATGGAATAAACTTAAGAGTGAAACTCAAATAGCACTGAGCAGTGCTGACACATGCCTTTAATGTCAGCACTTGGAAGACAGAAGTGGATTTCTGTGTTCAGGGCCAGCATGGTGTACAGAGTAAGTTCCTGGATAGCCATGCTACACAGAGAAGGCCTCTTTTAAAAAATCAAAACCAACCAACCCAACAAAAACAAGCAAACCAACCCTCATATAGCAACCATTTAAGTTGTACAAATGACATTTTAGTGTGCATACTTTTGGGGAAGGAGAGTGACAGGGGTCTCACTATGTAGCACTTGTAGTCTGAAACTCTCTGTATAGACCAGGCTGGCCTCACACTCACAGAGATCTGCTTGCTTCTGCCTCCCCAGAGCTGTGACTAAAGGTGTGTGGCACCATGCCCAGCTAGCAGCATACTATTCTTTTAAATGTTACTTATTTATTTTATGCAAATAGGTGTTTTATCTGCATGTTTGTCTGTGTACCACATACATGCCTGGCTTCCAAAGAGACCAGAGGAAGACATTGGACCCCTGGAACTGAAGTCACGGGTGGTTGTGAATTGCCATGTGAGTGCTGGGAACCAAACCTGAGTCTTCCCCAAGAGCAACAAGTGCTCTTAACTGCCGAGCCCTCTCTCCAGTCCTCCCATTCTATTTTTAATGCACTCAAAATACATATGTTTTATAAAAATTGATATTCTAGTTACTGTTTGGTAACCTGCTTCTTTTTTTTTTTTTAAATCAAGGATACTCATGAATAGTGTGCCATTTCAATGCAGGTATACAGTTCTCAAAAGGCTGATCTGGACATGGTGGCTCATGTCTGTAATACAAGCACTTGGGAGGTAGAGGCAGGAGGAAAAACAGGAATCAAAGATCATACTCAGCCGTATGAGTCTGAGGACAGGCGGGACTACATAAAACCCAAGGAAGAAAGAGGGGTTGAGAAAGAGGGAAGAAATGTGTTGTCAGTGGAGCTGGCCCTGATGGCAAGGGCACGGTGAGCTAACCCCAAGGGTGTGAAAGCCTTCCCTGGGCAACACTGTGGGATTGACTTTGGCTTTGGAGGCATGAGTGTGTGAATACAGGTGAGCTGCCCTAAGGATATGAGGGTGTATGTGTGTATGTGTGTGTGTGTGTGTGTGTGTGTGTGTGTGTGTGTGTGTGTACTGTCCATGCCCCTGACAGTTGCTGCATTGGGTGATCTCTTCCCAGGCAGTACAGGAGAACTAGCCATGGTGGTGTAGATGGGGAGAGCTGGCAGCCTGACCAACTCATCCAGGCCATCGTGTTGGCCCACAGCAAAATTCCTCATTTATGAGCTGATACAGGATGAGAAAAGGTTGGTCCTGCTGATCCAGAGCTGCAGGACCTCCATGACACAGGGTAACAACAGGAGAGGAGTCCTGGTGAGGAGCCATATTGATG